TGTGTCCTTCTCCCGTGACGATAACGGCTTGCGGTTAAAAAATAATAATAAACGAATTTGAAACTGGGGGGGGGACACAAACGGGCAGACAGCAGAGCTGTTGTTCTCCTCCTTTCCTCCGCTCTTGTCTCTGATTGTGAGTGTGTGCATTCGTGTGTGTGGGGGTGGGGAGCGGAGCCCCGCCCTTCAGAAACAGAGCGGAGGGAGAATGTGAATACGCAAAGCCGTGGACACTGAAACATGTACATACATTGGATAAATAACATAGGCGTTTACTTTATTTAATAAAAGAGCACATGTGAAAAGTGACCGTAGATAGATAACTTCAGTTGCAATTTGGTGCTATATATATATTTTAAATAAAAACAAAAACTTGAATTTCAGGCAGGGCGTGGGGCTCCGTTGGCAGGGCGCAGCGCCCCGCCAAGACAATGGTAGGGGAAACACTGGAGTTGTAGTTTTTCAATAAACGTTGAAATACAAGGAAAAAAACAGACAGTTTGTCAAGTTGTCAAATAATAACAGAAAGAATGAAAGCCAATATATTAAAAATAAATTAATAACGTTATTTATCTGAGGGGAAAATGTGGCGTTGTTAAAGTTGCTCCAATTATGAATACTTAATTAAAAAATATATATATATTATAATAATAAAAAATAAAATACGAATATTTATAAAAGCACAATAAGTTGAAAAAAATGTTAATAATAATAATAACTTTAATAATAAGATGTGGCATTTACAAAATAAGTTATTAAAGAAAGGAACAACATTCATGTTGCAAAAAATAAAATAATTCTGGAATATAATTATTAATTTACAAAAAATTATTATTTCAGATTCAATTGACCAGCAGTTCAAATAAAGCAAATGCAAAGTGATTTTAAGTAATTAGAAATGTTTTAGCAATTTCTTTGGTAACTTTTTTATTTCTATTTAGAAAAATTATTCGGCGTAAGCGCCAGTCATTCTTCTTATCAGATGCAGAATTGTATCTTTTTGATTTCAGACATTTGGCCCTAAAATTAACTCGGGGGGTGGGGCTTAGCTGAGAGGGGTTTCACATGAGTGACAGGCCTTCTGTAGTCATGTTGTCTTCAGGGACATTAGATATCCAGAGAAATATTGTACTTTTTTAACACAAAACTCCCGTCAAAACTTGAATTTTGAAATACATTTAATTTTTTCAAACAACATTTACTGTGAACACAGAAAGCAAAGCGCCATGAGATAAAATCAGATTATATCAGAGTTTAAAAAAACCCAAAGAGTCTCTCTTCTCATACCCAACGTGCCTTACGGCCTGTCCACACTGCGGCGTGAGTTGAAGCTTCAACGCTTCTGCCCATTAACTTTGAATGGGGTGACGTCACGCTTTGCCGAACTGCATTGTGGGCTTCGCTTTTCTCGCTTCAAAAGTTGAGCAATGTTCAACTTTTGAAGCTTCGGCGCCAGCCAATCAAATCATATGCCAGTACAAGCTCTAGCCAATCAAACCGCGTGCTTGTGTGCCCGGGGCGGGAGATTCATGTGATTGGTTGTTGGTCGAGTTTCAGACAAGCTCAACGGCAAGCTTCAGCGCACGCCGCCGTGTGGACGCTGCGTAAATGCTTTATAGTTCACTTAAAAAGGGGCACAAAAGCAAACTCAAACATATGGGAGGCTGTGGCTCAGTGGGTAGTGCGCTGAACTTCGAATCAGGGGGTAGCAAGTTCGAGTCCCACTGCAGTCAGCATGTCGTTGTGTCCCTAGGCAAGACACTTCACCCCAAATTGCTCCTGTGGGGATTGCCCACAGTACTGAATGTATGTAAGTCGCTTTGGATAAAAGCGTCTAACAAGTGAAATGTAATGTAATTTCAATTGAATATGAATGTGAAATAAAAATATTCAGTGAATGTTGGACAACAAAAAATAGCAAGAGCCTTTTCTGAACTCAATGCTCACTAAAATTGCAACTGTATAAATAACAGATAATGGATTAAGAAGTATTATACATAAAGACTGTATTAAGAAATATATATAGACCACCAAGAGATGCTTCTATTTACAGATGTTCCCTAAACGTCTAATTTACAGACTCCTGGTAGACATATCATTGTTACTTTGAGCAACGCAGCAACAGTATAAGGCTGCTTTATGTAAATCAAAAAACATTTGCATTAACCAGAGCACTCACATACATTCTAAGTGTGTGAGGACAACAGGATTTTGGGAGGGCTGAATGTAGTCCATAAAAAACATATTTATTAGAACGTAAAGTCACTGTTGGTCAGCTTTACGTTTGGACAAAAGATGGGGGAATGCTAGCTTGACGCAGAAAAGGATCAGATGGATGCAGAGTGAGTGCGCTGGTGGGATCTAAAGGGGAACTGATTTGAATAAAGGCTTTCCCACGCTGTTCACACCAGTATGGCTTATCTCAAGTGTGTATACGATGATGCCTCTTAAGATGACCTGATGTAGTGAATGACTTGTCACACTTTTCACAGCTGTATGGTTTCTCTCCAGTGTGAGTAAATTTGTGGGTTTTAAGATTACTAAATTGAGAAAAGGTTTTCCCACATTGCTCACACCAGTAGGGTTTCTCTCCGGTGTGAATACGACGATGGCGCTTAAGATAACCTGATGAAGTGAATGACTTGCCACATTGGTCACAGCTGTATGGTTTCTCTCCGGTGTGAATACGACAATGTATTTGGAGCTCACCTGATGTAGTGAACGTTTTTTCACACTCTTCACACCAGTATGGTTTCTCTCCTGTGTGAATACGATGATGGATTGTGAGATCATTTGATTGAGTAAAGGTTTTCCCACATTGCTCACACCAGTATGGTTTCTCTCCTGTGTGAATACGATGATGCCTCTTAAGATGACCTGATGAAGTGAATGACTTTTCACACTGGTCACAGCTGTATGGTTTCTCTCCAGTGTGAATACGATTATGTGTTTGGAGATCACCTGATGTAGTGAACGTTTTCCCACACTCTTCACAGCTGTATGGTTTCTCTCCTGTGTGAATACGATGATGGATTGTGAGGTGACTTGATATAGTGAAAGTTTTCCCACACTCTTCACAGCTGTATGGTTTCTCTCCAGTGTGAATACGTTGATGGCCTTTGAGTTTACTTGATATAGTGAAAGTTTTCCCACATTCTTCACAGCTGTGTGGTTTCTCTCCAGTGTGGATTCGCTGATGAGATGAAAGGTTGCCTTTCCGAGCAAAGGTTTTCCCACACTGGTCACAGCTGTAGGGTTTCTCTCCAGTGTGAATGCGCTGATGAGATGAAAGGTTGCCTTTCTGAGCAAAGGTTTTCCCACACTCTTCACACGAGTACGGTTTCTCTCCAGTGTGAATACAATAATGGGACTTAAGTTCACCTGGAGTATTTAAAGTTTTCCCACATTGATCACAGCTGTAGGATTTCTCTCCAGTGTGAATGCATTGATGAATCTTTAAAGTATTAGATGTTGGGAAGGATTCGTTACACTGGTCACAGATGTGAGGTTCGGTTTGCTTTCTTCTTCTCCGTTCCTAAAATATACAGCGAGAGACAAAAAGTCAGTGAGAGGCCGTCGTGCAGAGATCTACAAAAAAAACATTTGATTTCATATGACCAAATCATACTTAATCAAATGTGATTATGTTTTCTTTTATTTGAAGGACTTTAGTCGAAATGTTACTTTATTTCTGAGTTCTGACTTTCTGAATTATTTTATCTTTTTCAGATTTCTGAATTTCTTTCTGAATTTGATTTAAATCACATTTTCTCCACATTTTCTCAGAATTTGTTTTATCTGATTTGTTATATTTTTCAGAGGCAATTGTTTATTTTAAGAATTCTGAAATGCTCATTATTTTTCAGATTTCTTTTTCCGTAAAATTGACTTTTTTCAGAATTGTGACATCATTTTTCGGAATTGCGACTTTTTTCATAATACTTACTGTTTCTCAGGATTTTGACTTTTTTCGAATTTGACTATTATCACATTTCTTACTCTATTATATTTACACGTTTCAGAATTACACACTTTTTCAAATTTGAGATTTGAAATGTTGCCTTTTTTCTCCGAATGTTGACCTTATCATCATAATTTGATATTTTTTAACCTATCAACATGAACACGAACATAGTAAAAACATTTAAATTATAGTGTCCGTCCAATAAAAAACATTACTTATTGTGAAAACCACCCTTGAATGATGGGATAGTAGACTAAAAGCTTTAGGAATCCAAAATATGACATAATAAGTATCCTGTATCAAGATTGATGCAAAAAAAGTGACATTTGACCTTTCTAGAGAGGTTTAGCACCTTTGGGGTCATTTGGGTGGATTTGCCGTTTCTCTGGAACCCATTGGTCGATTTTGGTGATTGACATCTCTTTTGAACCGTTAGAGCCAATATAATCGAAGGGGAAGTTCCACATACACACAAACGTTACCATTGAGGAGTGTTACGTTCCCTACTGGACTAGGGGAACCAAAGGGAAGTAACAAAATATAAAATGACCGGGCGAGAGAAAAAGGAGAGGAAACGGATCTCTGAAACCACAAGCAGCTCTTTTAATGGACAAAAAAAAAGGGCTCACCAGCCAACTTGCAAAGCAAACTAAAATAAACTATAACACAAATATACACCGGAGCACATCTCCTAATAATGAACAGAACACAGGTCTCACACAGAGACAGAGACA